TGCGGCCCGGGGAGGGGGACCCCGCTTCTCAGGGATGATCTTTTGTGCTCATGGTTGCCCCAGCGCGTGTCTGGCGCTCCTTCCCCTTACACCCACGCCTTTGCGTTTGGGCTCTGAGTTGGGATGACCTTCGCAAGCAAGCAGAGAGAAGGTATCACGATTCGGGCTCCACCCCACTTTCAGGGACCCCCTTACCCCTTGTTCCACGAGGCTTCTGTCGTCGCTGTGTAGGTTTGTGGAGTCTTCAAGATGCTTCTGTGCCTTTTCCCCTTCGCCTGGCACAGCTCATGCTTCACTCTGCTCTGTGCTAGTGTTTTCACCCCTGGCTTCCTCCCGCCAGAGCCCAGGGCTGTGACCTGAGGGCTCTCACAGGCCCCTGCACGACATGGCACTAAAATGCAGGACTGTGGCCCTCCCTGGTGGCGCAGCGGGTTCGGACGCAGCACTGCAGGCGGCCAATCTGCCTGTTCTGCTCCCCACTCTGTCTCTGGGGAGTCCTCTCGGCGCCCCCGCACCTCTGGCCTGTACCCCAGTTCTGTATGCACAAATAAGTAAATCTTTTTTTAAGAAAAGAGCAACCTTCTAAAAAAAAAATTGCAAAGCTGTCGTGCTGCATATTTGAAAGTGCCACCAGAGTAAATCTTACACGTCCTCATTACACTCACACAGAGGAAGAAAACAGACGTGGGGCCCCTTGTGGAGACGGGAGAAAGCCACCTTGTGGGGTCTCCATGGTGAGCGCCTCCTGGGCACACAGACAGGGTCACGATGCTGTGGACCCGACCGAGAGGGTGTTAGATGCCCGTTTCACACTGGCACTCTTTTATGGAAGTGGGGTGAGGGGTGTCACGTTTGCTGACACCCGGGCGCCACCTGGGGCCCGGATCCCAGCGCCCCGTGGCCCTTCCCACCCACAGTGTGAGGCACTTGCTTGGGAAGTGATGAAGGAACTTGGGGCTGTGGCTAGAGTGGGGGAGTGCAGGTGGGGTGGGGCGGGGTACCTGGTGAAGTTGCTGGTGGCCCTCGAGCCTGCTGACCCTCCGGGGTGGGAGGGGCTCTCTCAAGCGTGGAAAACGTTCTTTTGGGGACTCGACGACCCGTGGGGAGAAGCGTCCTTACCTACTTACAGATCAGCAACTCGAATAGAAGGGCGCTCTGGTTTAAACACTTCCCAAACCAGATGACGTAGGGAGGCCGGGGCAGGAGGGCACAGAGGCTGAACCCCCCTGCCCCCCCAAACACCCCCCTACACCCTCCACACACAGAGCACATGTGCCAGCCCATTCTGTGGTTGACCTTGACCAACTCTCTTCAAGGTCAGCGCTGGACCTTTCCGCATCTCAGATTTGCTCATGGAGACGAGACGTTTGGGCTCCAGCTTTCCACGGGCCCCTCCCGGCCCCAAGTTTCCATCCTCCAACATTTCGCAGCCCCACATTTGCGTCTCACCTGTTGGCTGCGGGGCGGGGACCACGGGGCCTGCCATACTCAGTGCCCGTCACGTGGGTGTCTCCTTCTGCCCAGACCCCCGATCGGACCTGGGTCTGCAGTGACCGTGGGGTCCGGCCTGGGCTCCCACGTCCGAGGGGCCCCGCGGCAGCCGCCCGAGGCTCCCCGTCCTCCTGACTTAAACAAAGCGGGTACAGAGCACACACTGCCATGTCGCTCCCCACGTCGCGCCAAAGAGCAGCGCTGTTAACAGCAGGGGAGGCGCAGGGGCTCGCAGGTCCGGATACCCCGCCCCCCGCCCGGGGAGGCGTGCGGAGCACTCTCCGTCTTCTGGTTTTTTGTTATCAACCAGATGTTCGCCAGCGTGGAGACACCCCTGAAGCTCTGTCCGGCTGATAACTGGGGAGGGAGCCTCATCGCTCTGTGTCTGTGGGTGCCCGCTCCGCCTCCCTCTCGCTGCGGGTCCCCTCGCACGTCGCGGCCGGCCGCTTTGTTTAATCTTTATGGCCACCGCCTACCCTGTCCGCTTGCATTATTGCCTGCATTTGTCAAATAATGACACGTGCAATTGGGTGTCTTCTGAGACCTTTGAAATTCAACTTCCTTGAGTTGAGATGAAAGCGAGTTGGGGCGGCCGGCGGCCGGCGATGTTCTGCGGCCTGCAGACGCGTCCTCAGGCCGGCCGGTCCGACTGCCGTGGTCGGGAAGGGGGGCCTCGGCGCAGCCTTCCCCGACAGGTGGAGATGGGCCGGCGGCTGCTGTGGGCGCCCCGGGCCGCCCCGCGCGGGCACTGTCCGCTTGTGCATCTGGACGGGCCCTGACTGTGTCTCTTTGGGGCAGGAGGCGCTGTCCGTGGTGAGCGAGGACCAGTCGCTGTTCGAGTGTGCCTACGGCCCGCCGCACCTGCCCAAGGACATGACCGCGTCCTCCTCCGGCGACTATGCGCAGACCTCCAAGATGAGCCCCCGCGTCCCCCAGCAGGACTGGCTGTCTCCGCCCCCCGCCAGGGTCACCATCAAGATGGAGTGCACCCCCAGCCAGGTGAACGGCTCGAGGTAAGAGACCCGCTCTTGTTCCCTGTGGCGCTCTGGTGCCAGGACGGGCGGGGTGGGGAAGGCCGTGGTCCTCACGTGGCAGGATTCGAGGGATTGTGGCCTGGAGGGCAGTTCCGTCTTCCTCCTTACGGTGGGACAGTGTCAGCTCGGGCGGGGGGAGTGTTGGACTTTGCCGACTGCGTGGCCCCAGGCCCCGCCCGTCCCCTGCCGTCTCCCAGGCACAGGTTACTTTTGCTGACTGAAAGCCCATCATGGTGAACCTGCTGAGTCTGTCCTGTGCTGCTGTGTCACACTGAAGAGTGTCACAGGCGCGGAGGGGCACTGGTGCTTGAGGGCATTTCATAGAAGCCGCTTGGGACAGTGAAGTAGATTTCAGGCCTGCTGTCACCCCAGTATGTTCCAGGAAAGGAATATAAAATCTCAGGACAGAGAAAGGACCGCTGCTTTTAAATGGTGTGAACTCAGTGGCAAGAACAGCGCATGTTTTCTGGCCTGTGCTGTGGACAAAGCCCTCTGGTGACGGCCTCTTGCTGACCCTCTGGGCAGCTCCGTGATGGACGAGGGCCCGACGCCCTGGCATCTCTGCTAACCCCCTGTGAAGGGAGGCGGGGTCTGGACGTTTGCCCCACACGCCTGCATTTTCCACGGCTGCAGCCATAATAGGCCCTTTTTGCTATATATATATATTTTAATGCTAATTGCACTTTTCATAAGTGTCGTGTTTTATGAGCGCTGGAAACGATTGCGTCAGCTTCCAGCATGGCACTGAAAGAGGCGCAAGTCACAGCGCCTTTGAGGGAAAGTCAGTGGGAGCCGGGCCCCCCAGATGGGGGCCGCCAGAACACCCTCCCCCAGCCTCCCCCCTTCCCCCCCCCCAGAGCTCAGGTCACGCCTGGGCATCGAGTTTCTTCTTGTGAAGCGGGTGCAGGGACTCGGATGTTCGGTATCGCTACAGCTGGTCCTTGAGGTGGAGTCCAGGCTGGGCCAGGGCCCCCTCCTGGACTATGGCAGGGCGTGGGGCCAGGGGCGCCGAGTCCCTGCATGGTTTGCGGGTCCCTGTGAGCCTCCCAGCTGGCAGCGCGTCCCCTGTGGGGACAGCTGAGACTCGGGGTCCGGGAAGCACCTTCCAAAGGGTGGAGCCTGTTTACATAGAACAGTGGGCGGAGCCAAGCTGGGGACCTGGAGGGGACCCGCTTCTGCTGGAGCCCCGGCGGGCATGTGCACCCCGGGAAAGGCTGGGGTGAGCTGAGGAGCAGGAGGCTTTCCCGGCTCTGCCATGGCGGCTGGTTCCTGTGCAGGGTGGTCCCGGCGGGGCGTGGGGCGTGAGAGGCGCCTCCTGTGCATAGCACAAGTGGGGAGATGGTCAGCCCCAGCTGATAGAGGCCATACATGGTCAGTAGGGAGCGGGAGCAAGGGGAATTGCGCTGGAGACTGTGAGAGCCGGAGGGGGACAGAGGAGGAAGCGGAGGGTGTGGGTGTGAATGGAGACACGTTGTGGGGGGATTGTGTGTGTAAGAGGGAGACAGTGATGGGGGCGGGGAGAAGAGGCAGGGCCGGGGCACTGAGAACACAGATGCCCTCAGCAGGGCGGAAACCCAGGCTGCGCTGGCCGCCAGGTCTGGGTCGGGCGGGGCAGCGTGAGGAGCCGGGTCGCGGAGACCGCAGCCTGGGTCCGCCCCGCGCGGTTCCTGACCTGCGAAGCCGCCGCCCCAGCGCGGTCTGCGGAGGCGGGACGGGGCGCCTTTGCGGTCTCCCCTTCAGAGCCGACCCCGCGCACCCGCGAGGCCTCGGGGCCCCCTGCGCTAGAGGGGCTCCCCTGGGGTGCGGGGGGCTCCCTTCCCAAGCAGGTGGTGGGTTCTTCCGTCCTCAGCCCGACGGGCCCGCGGCCCTGATGTGAGCTTGTACGAGGGCGGCCGGCGGGGGCGGCGGTGCTGCCCCCCCAGAGGAGAAAGGGGGTGGCGCAGGCCCGGCCGGCCAGGCCGGCGTGCGGCCTAGCGTCTCAGGTGAGGACCCGTGCCCTTCCGGGCGGCGGCCAGCACGGGGCTGCCACTAGGGACCCACGGTACAGCCCGCGTAACCCGCATTGCGTAACGGGGCCGGAGCGCTAGC